GATCAAATTAGATCTATGTTTTTTCCTTGTTTGATTTTCCTGCGGTAAGCAATGACACTGTGAGATAGCGAGCTTACAAGCCATCGTTTTCTTCTGGCTATGGCCACCGCCCACCGGTTCTCTCAGGTTCCCCATAAGAGAGGAATTCGCCGACATCTTTGAGCATCTGGATCCGGTTCTACTACATTACCTCGTGATTCAGACGGTGGGTCTGCCATGGGTGAGAATGTTGGGGGAGATGGAGATGCTGGTGCGATAGTAGGGGCGTGCCGTCAACGTGCTTCTTCTCTGACGAGGTCAGCACAGTCCATTGACAGGGTAGTGACCTGTTCAGAAGAAACTTACACCCTCCCCTCACGGATCAGTGGAAGGATCTGGTTGAGGTGGTTAACTCTTGGCAGTTGTCTGGCAAGACTGATCAGATTAGTTGGGCGTTGGGTAAAAAAGGTAAATTCTCGACCAAATCGTTCTATACCTACTTGGAAAGGCAGCTGGCTAGATGTGACTATAGATGGATTTGGAAAGCAAAAATCCCCCTTAAAATCCAAATTTTTCTTTGGCAAGTGTTCCAAGACGCGGTTCAGACTAGAGAAGTCATGAGAAAGCGCAACTGGGCAGGCAATCCTAAATGCTCTTTTTGTGATAATGTGGAGACCTCACAGCATCTTTTCTTTACGTGTCCTGTGGCTCGGGTGGTATGGAGGACGGTTGGATGTGTGCTGGGCACATCTTTATGTCCAAATAACATTTGGCAGTACTATTCCTGGTGTTATATTTTCCTTCCTGATGGAACTAAACTTTACACCTCTGGTTTGGCAGCAGTTTGTTGGGCGATATGGAACAATCGTAACCAAGCTACTTTTGAACATAAAGACTTCAAAAGCCCTTTTAATGTGGTGTATGCTGCTTGTGGTTTTTTGATGTACTGGGCAGGTTTGATGGCTGGCGATGATCGGGAGGCCATGGAGCGCGGAGCCAAGATGCTCAGGTCCAGTGCTTCGATGATGATGAGAATCTGCGCGGCTCCAACCAACTCAGCTTCGAACTGATCCCTTCTGCATCTCTTCGGAGCTTCGAGTTCTCGTCTGTCAGGGATAGGCTGCCTTTCACTCCCGCGCGAGTGCTCTGATTGCTCTTTTGTGAACCTGTAAGCTTGGTGAATTTAGACTATTTCGGGTTCCTTTTGGAGACTCCTTGGTGTTTAGATCCTATAGGTTGCGTGATCACAGGTGTCGCTGGGTTTTCGCCCCGCAATGAGCTGCTCGATGACGAGT